CTATTAGCATTTTAAACAATCATAAACTGAAAAATACAATTGAATATGTAGACAGTAAGAAGTAACCGCTGATAAACAACTTCTGTTAAGACTGTTGTCATTTAAGCTAATTCCCTAGTTGCGATTTAAACCATTGAATTATTTCAGATATATGGGAACGTTCCGTAAAGAAACGGCGAAATTCCCGATATCTTTCTATGGAATAATCAACTGTACTGTTTTTGTGATAATGAAATTTGAAGATTTCGAGAAAGTAAATCTTGAAGGCAGTGGTAAGCATTTCGATATCATTCTGATATGGAACATTATGGAATACAAAATAGAATGCTTTGTTTTGATATTCTTGTCAGGACAATTCAAATTCTTTTAAATGTAATATTTCTGAGAATGGACAAGATTCCTTACTTTTTTATAATAAAAATCAAACATTTTAGGATGTGATAAGTCGTATAAAATGCGTGCCATTCTTTTGGATTCTTATATAACTGTTCTACGAACCAAGGATGGCATAAACGTTGAAGGAGTACGAATTAAAGTATCAATTGATTATAATGATGTTGAAAAAGGAATAAAGGAGTGAGTTTCTTTCTTGTACCTATTGCAAACGTTTATTACATTTACAGAGTATATTTGAAACTTATGGTATTGCAGTTACATAAGATAATTAATTTCAGCACATATTCTACTGTAGATAGGATTTTGGATTAGGCTGCGAATATATCTTGATGAGAACACGCATTATACGTGCTAGACCAACACTTTATTTTAGATTATTTTGATACAGTATTCGATTGTAGAAGTTTTTTAATCTTACAGTTACTGTCAACTATTTTCCAATCATTAATTTGTGTCAAAAAATTTGTGAGATTCTTTTAGGTCAGGAATTGTTGTTTACACACACAATTTGGTTGATTCAGAATTCGAGGAAAGTAATTCGTTTACTATTGCACCTAATACATTTCACACTATTCATAATATTGGTGAATACACGTATTATCAGACAAACTACGCGAGCAATGCACGTATTTCTTCCAAA